TGCCCCGGCAATGGCCCTGAGCACATGGAGCTGATAATCCCAGCGCAGCTTCTCAGGGAATAAGTATGTAAATGTTATGCAAAGACAGACAAAGTCTATTCATTGCTTGACTGGTACCTTTACTTCAAACAATGAAAAATCCCAACCAGCTGTTGGGAATTGTTTCCCTTGGTGTTTTCATTAGAACTTGTAATCCAGTGTTCTCCCACTAGTATTTGGAGAAGGAAGAATAATAGTACAAGAGGATGCACTCTCTACTCCTCCTAGGCTGCTGACATGGAAAAATGTCTATTTTCATCTTCTTAGAGTATAAAAATGCCTGAAAGGTGGCAGACTTCTCTACTTCTTTCAGGGGTGGGAGGAGGGGAGTCAGAACAAGTGGGACTAAAAAGTCACTATGAGATCAGTTTACCCTGCTTTTTAATGGAAATAAGGCTGATGAGGTCACTCTTAGGCACATATGGGGTAATTTCCTCCATAAAACTGACAACAAATTTCAATTAAATTTAACAGAGGGCAAGCATCTTGCCTCAGAAGCACAGTCTCTACAAATTTCAAGAAAACAGGCAGCTGAAGAAAAATACCCCATCAATTGCCGGGGAGGTAAGTGCCACAACACAAATGCCACCTCTGTTATGCACCAGGTGATCCAAACGGTAGAAAAATGTTATTAAGGAGAAAACAGGGAGAAAGTTTATTCCTGATTTTTGGGTTTTGCTACACCAGCCACATGCCAGAGACTTACATCTAGCTTAGCTAAGCAGTTTGGGGTTTCCCCAGCGGAATTTGGGGGTAATCATCTGTCCTAACTTTAAAATTAAGAGAATCAGAGGAGCCGCTCATAATTTGCCTGGTCCCAGCAGCACCAAATGTTGCTCTACAACATTAGAGTGCAGGGTTTTCTGTAGGGAAGGATGTGGATAATCACACCACTTTCTTTAAGGTGTGGTGCTCTAAGTTCAGAGGCAATAAACCCTCGGCTGATCTGAATGCACAGCAAAACTTTTCTAGAGGTGGTTCAGAGTAACTTTCTGCTCCTTTTTCCTACTGCTGTCCAAGCAAGCAAAGGACAAGCAACTCCTAACACAGAATTCAACCTTCACCATCAGAAAGGCGGTTTCTCGCATTGTTAGTGAGAGAGACATGAAGATATTCTGAAAGGCCATTACATTTTCCTGGAATATGTAATAATTTCACTGTGATAACCTTGGGAAAAACAATTTAATCTCTGAATCCACATCCGAACAGTTGCAGCCATCTTCAGTAAACTAAAGAGCAATGAGTAAAGCCTGTAATTTGTTAATGAACTGAAGATACAACCACAGGCAGACGCTTGACAGAAATCAAGGGAAAGCACTGCCTGCAGCCCAAGTGACTCCAACACACCCTGCCTGCTCTCCCTTGGTCTTTGTCAGTCCACCCATCACCCTCGGTTAATCCCCTGGGGCGCAGCTTGTCATTTTATCTTAGCGAAACCTGACCAGTGCAGTTACATTAGAAAAACCAAAATCATTTGCCACTACAAGTAGCCATAACAAGACGCTGCTGTTTAACTGTGCAAAGCCAGGTGTGAAATGGAACGAGCTATGGCAAGGTGAGATGGGTGAATGCTACTTCATATCCTTTGGAAATAAACTGCAGAGCCCAGCAGAATCAGTTTCCACAGCAGCAAAGCATTTGCAGAATAATGGACACTATTACTTTATTAGTTCAGCAGCACTAAAGCAAAGGAGGAAAGGCCAAAGAATATATTTGCAGCTTATTGTTCCTGGCTACTGGAAAGACAAAAGTCGGAATGTTTACCAGTTGCAATGTCAGCCTTGTCCCAAGATGAAAACCCAGTATTTTAATGAAAACCTCTGCTCTTTCAGTGAACTTTGGTGACAGCAGCACACAGGTAACTAACACCCCACACTGCAGATTCACAAGTCATCAAATTTCCCCTTAGCAAATGACTCAAAAAAATCTGTCCTTGTAAACAAGAATTAGTGTCAGCAGTCTTACAGCTTCAAATGTGGTAAGATAAAGCCCAGAGTGTTTGTTAGTAATTATCCAGCCTGAAGGCAAACACCCATTCACACAAACCAGGCACTGGCATGGACTCCATTGCAAGGAAACAAAACCAGGTCAGGGAGACAAGGTATGCAACATTTTCCCTGCGCAAGATTAGCACCTACCACTCCACAATACTTACATTTATTAACCTTCAGCTTGCTTCCATCTACTGGAATTGGATCTATGTAATCCCAGTAATATTCATAACACCAGAAATACTCCAAGGAGTTTGTTCTGTTAGCCATGTCAGTGGTGCCTTTTAAGCCAGCTCAGAACTCCGACCCACTACTTTGCTTCACAGCACTGCAGCGCCCTCAGAAAGAGAATTGCACTACTGGTGCCTGTGCCAGTCACTCTGGGGTCCCGCAGCTCAAGGGCTGCCTGGGGACTGAAAACACCTCATGGCAATGGGTGTTAATGTATGGCAGAGATGTAGGAGGAGCCCTGAAAACGCAATCCTCGCTTCTTGACGGTCACTCATGTTATTCCTCAGGATGTTTTAAACTGAGATGGGTGCCCTGTAACCTAGGGACAGGGTGGACAAGTGCCAGCTGGATCACAAACCCTTCTCTCCAAGCAGTGCACTGTTCCTGGCAGCTCCCGAGCACAGCCGGGCTGGAAAACATTCCTGATGGCATCTGGATGGAAAGGGCTGGGGTCTGGAGGGGCCACGCCAGGAGCGGCTGGTGGCACTTGGCCTCTTCAGCCTGGAGGAGACGGAGGTCAGAGCTCACCACGGTCTCTGCTGCCCGTGAGCGGGGACAGGACCCAGAGAAGAGCTGGAGCTGGGCCTGGAGGGGTTTAGGGTGGCGATCGGGAAAGGCTCTTCCCCAGAGGGTGCTGGCACTGCCCAGGCTCCCCAGGGCACGGGCACGGCCCCGAGGCTGCCAGAGCGACAGGAGCCTTTGGAGAGCGCTGCCAGGGATGCCCAGGGTGGGACTGTTGGTGTCTGGGCAGGGCAGGGGTGGCACTGGATGGTCCCTGGGGGTCTCTTGTGTAAGAAACTACAGATTGAGATATTGTTTATTAAGATATATGTAAAGGTTAGACAACTGTGAGAAAAATACAGACTGAGGTATTGTCTATTGAGATAAGGTTAGGCAACCGAGGTATGCAAACAGCGAACGGACACAGCTGATGCAAGATAAGATAACAACCACTTACACCTGAGACTGCCTATGCAAGATAAGATCACAACAACCATTCACACCAGAGACTGCTTATACAAACACAAGATAACGGCAGGAATTAGCTTGCAAATTCCAGGGAGACAAAAGAAGAAATTGGAATAAAAGGAGAAAGTTTGAGCGAATCAAGGTAGCAGTCAGTGGAGCTTCGGTTTTTGAAGTTCTCTGTCTGCTGCCCAGCGCTGTTACCCTTGTTCATATCCTACTTGCTGTAAATTAATAAAATTCTTAATTGGATAATGTTCCGTTGTGGCGCAAATTTATAACACTTGCAGCTCAGGGGCGTCTCTGACTTAGGAGTGTGATAAATTATGACACGGGACCAATTTGTGTCACTTTATAAAGAGAATTTTATTAATTTAGCAAGCAAGCAGTACGGGCAAATGCAGCTCCCCCCAACGGCTCGCCCCGCACCTCCCGGTCTTTCAGTTCTTATACCCCTTCAGTTCCGGACTTTGTGATATTCTCGACGTGCTCTGCATCTGCGCGGCGTGTTGCTAGGGGTCTTTTTTTTTTTTGCTGTCCAGTGGTCGTTTGAGGAAAGCTCCTATTCTTTTTCCTCCGAGGTAGCGTTAACCCTGCAATAACTTCTCCAAATATGGTAACACAATTCCACTATCTACTAATAGCAGTACATCCTGCCCTCCTGCCCCACTGTTTCCTGTGACTTATACAATCCCTGGGACTTTTCCTGATGAACAAAAACTATGCTATTGTCTTTCACAAATCCCCCCTTTTGTCTTTTCATCATTTTGTTCATCAAACCTTTGTAATTCTTGGTGGCTTATAACTAGGATCTCTTCCATTTCTCGGTTTTCTGGTATTGACTCATATTTTGCTCTAATCAGCATCAGGTGTGATGCTTCTAGCCTTCCCTTAATAATGACAGTTCTCCGAGTTCACAATTTTACCACTGGAATCCTTCTGCAGAGGTTTATATCCATAAGGCCCCCATGATACTTTAAGGAATTTATCTCCTGCTACTGACCAATCTGAAGCTATTGTTTCACAGCCCCAGTGCCCACATAAATATTCTCCAGGGTAGTTGCAATACCCTTTCCCTGGGTTTGATGCTGGGCACATATAAAATCCGTTTCTATCCAAACAAGGCTCTATAGGGGGTAGTTCACATAACTGTGGGTTAAAATTAGGGGATCTGGATGTTATCTGGTTCTGAATTCCCACACCATCCACTCGGGTTAGTGTCCACTTAAAAGGTCGATGTAAAGCTTGGGAGCCCTCTCCTTAGTATAGGGTAAAAAAAAAAAAAAAAAAACAAAACAACATTGTAATACCAGTAATTTGCCAATAAGGGTGGAGTCCTGACCTTGCATTTACTATATAATGTCTTATTTTCCCCTTTTGGGTTTGTTGCCCTGTTGGTGTCTCGGGGGTAATCAGACTGGTCTTCTGGAGGAACTTAGTACTTGGCTGGCAATAGTTGGAGCATTTCAGCATTATTCTATTTTTGGGGGGCCTGGCTCTTTCCCCTCTGCCTTGCCCGCCGACTCGGGTGCTTCGAGACGCGGGGTAAACCATCTTCTCGACAGCAGCGGTACTCACCTGAGCGCCCATTCCCCTGCTCCTGCCTAACCTTGTACTCTTCCCAGTTCTTATCCTTGACCGGGGGTGGGTCACACGGGACCCCCTTTAGTTCCCTCTGACAACACTCTTTTATAATTTGGGCAACAAATGGAGGGGGCTCGTTAGAGTGGAAACAAAAGTTTTCTGGATGCACCCCTCTGGTGTAAATTTTCCTCAGATTCAAAGGGAATCCACTGATTTCCCACTCCCCTAATTTCAACACAGCTTTGGTTAATTCTCGTTCAGTCGTGTAACATTCTGTACAAACCCCAGTGGGCAGCCTCCCCCTTCGGCACTGGACTCCCCACTGTTCTTGGCAAACTTTACATGCAAAGCATACAAAAGGATAACAATCACAGTTTACCTTATTACAAATTATCAAATAATCACTAACAAGCAGGTAATTATATCCCTCTTGCTCCCCTTTGTGACGGACTTGAATGATGTATACAGAGTTCATCAGTTTCTCTTAATGGTAACCTTCAAGTCCCCAGGCTGGCTGGTCACTTTCCAGTGGTCGTCTGTGGTGACTGGACCTTTGACGTGGCTCGCATGAGTCCACCCCTTCTCAGCTGTTCTGATAGCAGTTTCTGTGGTAAGCAAAACAGCAAACGGACCTTCCCAACGTGAGGTCAGGCAGGTCTCTTTCCAAGTTTTAATAAGTACTTTATCCCCAGGCTTTATTTTGTGAATGGGGAGGTCCAAAGGTGGTCTCTGCACTAACAGCCCCTTTTTCTGGAGCTCCTCTCTCCTGTTCATTATCTGTGTGATGTAGGTGTTGATTTGAAAATTTTCTATACATAGGTGGTTCATGGGGGCCTCAATGTCATATGGCATCCCAAACAGCATCTCAAAGGGTGAAACCCCCACATCAGTGGAGGTTGCGTACGGATGTTCAACAGTGCTAGAGGGGTAAGCATTTTACCCATGACATAACTTAGTCAATTGTTTCTTAATTTCCCCATTCATCCTTTCCACCCTTCCGGAACTTTGTGGGTGCCATGGGGTGTGATGTTTCCACTGTATTCTCAGAGTATTAAAAATGTCCTTTGTCACCTTCGAGGTGAAGTGAGGGCCCTGGTCTGAGTCTACCGCCACCAATATACCATATCTGGGGATAACCTCTTCCAGTATTATTTTTACTACATCATGTGCAGTTGCCCTTGCTGTGGGGAAGGCTTCCACATAGTGGGTGAGGTGATCCACTATGACTAGCAAGTACTTATACCTTCCTATTTTAGGTAACTGTGAAATCCACCTGTACGTGAGAAAAGGGTCTGTGAACCAGCTCTGACCACCCATCACTCTCTCTCTTTGCTGCTGCTTATTTACCTTTAAGCAGGTTAGACAGCGACTGGTTACCTGCTTGGCCAGGTTATATACCCCTATACACATATCTTTAATAGCAAATTGGTCTATTAGTGCTTGAGTTCCCCAGTGCGTTTTGCCGTGCATTGCCTGTAATACTCTCAATGCCATCGCTTTTGGCAACACCTCCCGACCATCAGGTAATATCCATTTACCTTCCTCTTTTTCCCATACCCCCATTCAGTCCAATTTTTGTTTTTCTTGAACAGTAAATGTTCAAATGAATTTTGGGCCATGTGAACAGCAATATTTCTCCTCAGGGCTTTCACAAAAACATTCCAAACCACCCCCACAGGTGGTACAATTCTCCCGTTGCATGTTCATCGGTTTATATTTTAAAGTTAGTAGTGCCGCTCTTTTTGCCTCCTGGTCAGCTAGATTATTTCCTCTGATTGTGTTTCCCATGCCCTTCTGGTGTCCCCGTATGTACACTATAGCTATCTCTTTTGGACCCCTTATTGCCTGCAAAATCTGTTTTATCATGCAGCAGTCCTTTACCCTGTGAATTGATTAAACCTCTTTCCTCCCAAATTTTCCCGAAAGTGTGCACAACACCATAGGCATATTTTGAGTCAGTGTAAATTGTCCCCGCCTTTCCCTCTAATAATCTTAGAGCCCTTAATACTGCATGCAATTCGCATGCCTGGGCGGACCAGCTGGGGCTCAGGGGACCAGATTCCTTTACCTGTAGGGTTTTCCCATCAATTATAGCATATCCCGACCTTCTTTTCCCTTCAAGTACCCTGGATGATCCATCCACAAACAGCTTATCCCCTGTTTCCAGTTCTTCCCCCTCCAGGTCTGGTCTAATCTTTATTTGTTCTTCTATTTGCTGGAGGCAATCATGTGCTAATTCTGAGCAAGGCTCACCATACAGAAACTGTGCAGGATTTTGGAGGGCAGTGGCCTCAAGTGTTAATTTAGGGGATGAAATTAGGATTCCTTCATACTTCAAAATCCTAGCATCTGTAATCCATTTTTCTGCTTTCGACTGCAATACTCTCCTTATGTTATGTGGGGACATTACCCTTAACTCGCTTCCAGAGGTAATCTTACCAGTTTCTTCTACCAGCAAAGCAGCTGCCACTATTGCCTGTAAACATGTGGGCCACCCACGACTAACAGGATCCAGAAGCTTTGATAAGTAGGCTACTGGTTTCTTACTCCCAGCCCAATCTTGAGCCAAAACTCCATATGCCGTCCCCCCATCTACATTAACAAACAGATAAAAAGGTCTCTTCAGATCAGGGAGGCTAAGTACAGGTGCATTACTCAATTCTCTTTTAAGGGCCTCTAATTGTTCCTCATCTTCTTGTGACTATTTGAGTAATCCTTTGTCAATTTATCATAGTGTCATGGTTTGACACAGAAAAATTTTTTTTTTTTTTTTTTTTTTAGAAAGAAGAGGTCAATCCAGTCAAGAGTCAAGTTTAGATACTGACACTTAAAATAACCAATTAAAAGTAGACACGCCTCTGAGAACACAGAGGGGTTAAAAGCAGAATTCCCAAGAGAATTAGCTCTCTCTGGTTCCGGTCATCGCAAGGTACAGACCTCCTTCAGCAACTACTAGTTCAAGAATAGACGGAGAGAGCTAAAGAGAGTGTAAAGATGCCCTTCCGTCTTCAGAAAAAAAAAAAAAAAAAAAAAAGCAATCTCTGTTTTTAGACCCTCTGCCCCAGGGGAAAATGAGAGAGATTATAGTCCCGAAATAAAACACTAGACTATTGTTCCTAATAGTCCTTAGCAAAGCATCCTTAAAAGAGCCCTATAAGCAATCTCTATCCCTGCACAGTAGTAAGAACACTGTAACATAAAAAAAAGTGTGTCACACTAGCCAGTGTGTCTGAGCAGTGCCACATATAACATGAAAACACAAGAGGTAGCAGCTGTGTTTCCTAAGAGTCTGTAATACAAGGGGGACTCCTCTCTTCCCCAATAAACTCAGTATTAATTATCTTAAAAGATAAAAACTTAATTAAAGATCCAAATGAGTCTCACTATAATTTAGTAGAGTTAAGTAATAAGAAGAGAAATATTTTAGAAAGTTTTCATTTTAAATTTTGTATAGTTTTTTCCTTTTCTTTCTTTTCCTTTTATAGTAACAGTAGTAATAGTATAATAAATTTTTTCCTTTATTATTAAGTTTAGCCTGCTTTACTCTGTTCTCAATTGCATTTCACAATATTTAATTGATAAATTGCATTTTCATGGGGTGCTGGCATCGTGCCAGCGTCAAACCATGACACATATAAAAGTTTTATCTTTCCACTGAAATTTCCTATCCACTACCTGCAGTACCCAAATAGTCCCAACAATTGCCTTACTTGCCTTTTAGTCCTCGGGGCTGGGATTGAGAGAATCTCCTTCTCCTGTCTCACTGCCTCCTCCTCTCGTCCTGCACCTTAAAGGCTTTTTGCACATTCTGTCCCCTAGGGACGGCTCTCTTAATGCCCTGTATGATTATGTTCCGCAGGTCGTCCATATGGGTCCTATGCTGCGGGTCTTGGTTATTCCATTGGGGATTTTGCAGGGGCCTTTTAGTGTCTGCTAATGGTCCCTGTTGATGTTTATTATCCTAGGTTCTCATCCCCATTTCCCTTATAATTCTCCTTTTCTCTTTAAAATCCCCCAAACTCCGGGTCAAATCCCCCCCAGATTTGGGTCAGAACTTCCTAATTTTGGGTCCATACCCCCCAGATTTGGGTCACAACTCCCCAGATTTGGGTCAGAATCCCCCAGATTTGTGTCAAAACCTCTAAATTTCAGGTCCAAGTCTTTAAATTCTGCCTCCAAACCCTCAAATTTGGGTCAGAACCTCCCAGATTCGGCTCAGAAGCTCCTGGTTTTGGGTCAGAACCCCCTAAAATCTCCTTAAAACTCCCCGAATTTGGGCCAGAACCTCCTGGATTTGGGACAGAACCCTCCAAACTCGGCTCCAAATCTCCAAAACCTCTTTAAAATCCCCCAAATTTGGGTTCAAACCTCCCAAATTTGGGTCCAAACTTTTCCAAAACCTCCTTAAAATAGTGGATCATTTTTGCTTTATCTTTTCCCTTTCCCCTACTGGGAAAGGCATGCCAATTATTTATCATTATTCCTAGAGGACTATCCTCAGGAATCTGGGGAAGCTTTGCAGGGGTTCCCCCACCCATGGGACCAGAGGGCTTGCTTTTCCTCTGTCCCACCTTCCGGAGTGCACTCAATTTTTCACACACGCGCTCCCCTGGTTCGTGGCCCAAGCCCTCTCGGGTATTGGGAACCGCACTACTGAGGGTCCGCACTCACTTGGTCTCTATGAGACCTCTCACACACAACACTCCGGGAAAACCACCCCAAGCCGAGCGGGAAACCGGCCTATACTCACGCGTCCTGCGTCTTCGCTCGGATCTTCGTGCACAAAGATTACAGGGGTAACCGGTTCTCCTTTTAACCGGCTCTCCTTTGCCCGCAGCTTAATTTAGGTTCGTCGGTAGAGAGAGACCGGGAAATCTGGGAAAATCGGGCCGCCAAAAAAAAGGCGGGGCGCCTCCCGAGGGTCCCAGAACAACCAGGCTATTTCTCTATCTGAGTCACGGCACCAAATATTGTTATAAATTATGACACGGGACCAATTTGTGTCACTTTATAAAGAGAATTTTATTAATATAGCAAGCAAGCAGTACAGGCAAATGCAGCGCTGGGTGGCCGGGGAGCCTCTGCTCCCACCAACGGCTCGCACCGCACCTCCCGGTCTTTCAGTTCTTATACCCCTTCAGTTCCGGACTTTGTGATATTCTCGACGTGCTCTGCATCTGCGCGGCGTGTTGCTAGGGGTCTTTTTTTTTTCTGCTGTCCGGTGGTCGTTTGAGGAAAGCTCCTATTCTTCTTCCTCCGAGGTAGCGTTAACCCTGCAATAACTTCTCCAAATATGGTAACGCAGCTTTCAAAGATCTCTCAATTCCACTATCTACTAATAGCAGTACATCCTGCCCTCCTGCCCCACTGTTTCCTGTGACTTACACAATCCCTGGGACTTTTCATGATGAACAAAAGTATGCTATTGTCTTTCACACCGGACATGCTGGAATTCCAGCACGAGCTGGAGTCCAAGGCAGCAAAGTGGTACGCCACTATTGACATTGCCAAGGTGTTTTTCGCCATTCCTCTGGCAGCAGAATGCAGGCCTCAGTTTGCCTTTACATGGAGGGGCGTTCAGTACACCTGGAACTGACTGCCCAAGGAGTGGAAGCGCAGCCCCACCATCTGCCATGGACTGATCCAGGCTGCACTGGAAAAGGGTGAAGCTCCAGAACACCTGCAGTACATCGATGGCATCATCGTGTGGGGGAACACGGCAATGGAAGTATTTGAGTAAGGACAACAGATCATCCAGATTCTGCTGAGAGCCAGCTTCACCATCAAGAAGAGCAAAGTCAAAGGCAAAGGAGGCTCCCTGGGTGTCCTGCTCTCCTCTCCAGGAGATCTGAGAGCTCTGACACCCCTCCTGCCATCTTGTCTGCCCAGGCCAGCACAAGAGCCCCGGCCTTGGGGCCCTCCAGAGCTGCTCCTGCTCCAGGCCCAGGGCCCATCCCAGAGCTGGGGCAGCCACAAAGCTGTGCCCATTTCTGTTTATTGCTGCGCTGATGGGGATGGATCCTCAGCAACTTGGAGGTTGGTGATGAACTTTACTACTCCAGAGGCCTCTTCTTTCTTGAGCTCTTCAGTATAGAAATTTAGTGACAAAGGCTCATTCATATTTCTTCAAAACACCCAAACAAGACAAGCCCATGGAAATAATTCAAGTCTTGAATTCTTCAGTTGTTAATTCGACAGATTGCAGAAGTGTATTTAAAGTCAACCTACTATATTGAAAACAGTGCAGAGGGAATTGTTTTGTCCTGTTTACTTTTCCTATTTATAGATTGATATCAGCAATCCCCAGTTGATATGGATCCCTAGCATCTCCTAATCCATTTTTAATAGGTATGAAAATCAAGACCCCTTGTTGCTGACAATCTGAAGAGGGTCCCACGGAGAGCCAGCTGGAGTAATGACACCCAAACCAATATGGCTTGATGTCATCCTCCTTTATTGTCTAATTTTTTCATATTTTATTCCTTCATCGCCTTACAAAATACATAGTAAATTAACATTCATTGGTTAACGTAATATATATAATTATATTACGTGAACCAATGAATATTTATTTGCTATTGTCATGTATTGATTGGCTGTTATTCTACAAGCGTCTGATCAGGTTATAGTACATGACAGTTTTCATATACTACTCAGCGTCCAGCATTGACTATTGTGTTTGTACAAGGCTTATTGTTTTTCCAAGGATGTCCTAAGTACTTTAAATTGACTAAAGTAATTCAGTAATCTGCAGGCCAGGGTTGTCCAGCTCCTGCAAAGGAATAGCATCAAGAATAGCATGTCCTTGTTCCACGAGAAATTCCTCGACACCCTGTGGATCAAAGGATCCTTTGTGATCCTCCAGATCCTCATGGAACCAAGGGTGCATTGAGGCACAGCTGGGCCTTGTTGCAAGCAAAGAAACCTCTGTAAAAAGCAGGGTAACTCACAGAACCAAGGAGTCCATTGTTAGAGGATAAAACCTATGGAACCAAGGGTCCATGGTGACAAAGAGGGGCCTCATGGAAGCAAGGGGTCACTGCGACACAGTGGGACTCATGGTACGAATTGTCCATTATGACAATGTGGATTCACGGAGACCGTGGTGACACTAAGGAACCTCATGGATCCACAGGGCCATTGTGGTGCTGAAGAACTTCATGGACCCCAGGGTTTATTGTGACACAGCAGGCCCGCATTGGAAGAGAGGAACCATTGATGACAGTACAGAAACTCATGGAAGCAAGGGACATGGACTCATGGGACCATTGTGACACAGCAGGGCCACATGGAACCAAGGAGACCAGTGACATTTAGGTACCTCATGGAACCAAGGGTCCATTGTGACACAGCAGGGCCACATGGAACCAAGGAGACCATGGTGACACTACGGAAGCTCATGGAACCAAGGGTCCATTGTGACACTGCAGAAACAAGGAGACCATGGCTGACACTATGGAAGCTCATGGAACCAAACAGCCATTGTGACACTGCAAGGTGTCGTTGAACCGGGAAGACCATTGTGACCCTAGAAAACTTGATTGGCACTAAGGGTTTATTGTGACACAGCAGGGTCCCATGAAACCAGTTGTCCATTGTGACAATGCAGATCTGATAGGACCATGGTGACATTACGGAAGCTCATGGAACCATGGGTCCATTGTGATAAAGCAAGGCCTCATGGAACCAAGGAGACCATTGTGACATCATGGAATCTCATGGAACAAAGGAACCATTGTTACAGTCTGGAAACAAAGAGACCATTGTGACATCATGGAATCTCATGGAACCAAGTGTCCATTGTTACAGTCTGGAACCAAAGAGACCATTGTGACATCATAGAACATCATGGAACCAAGGGTCCATTGTTACAGTCCAGAACCAAGGAGACCATTGTGACATCATGGAATCCCATGGAACCCAGTGTCCATTGTTACAGTCTGGAACCAAAGAGACCATTGTGACATGATGGAATCTGATGGAACCAAGGGTCCATTGTTACAGTCCAGAATCACGGAGACCATTGTGACATCGTGGAAACTCGTGGACCCAAGGGTCCATAGTTACAGTTCGTAACCAAGGAGACCATTGTGACATCGTGGAACCTCATGGAACCAAGGGTCCATTGTTACAGTCCGGAACCAAGGAGACCATTGTGACATCACGGAACCGCGTGGAATCAAGAAGATCATTGTGACATCACAGAACCGCGTGGAATCAAGGGTCCATTGTTGCAGTTCAGAACCACAGAGAACATTGTGACATCATGGGACCTCATGGAACCAAGGGTCCATTGTTACAGTCTGCAACCAAGGAGACCATTGTGATATCGTGGAACCTCACGGAACCAAGAAGATCATTGTGACATCATGGAACTTTGTGGAAGCAAGTGTCCATTGTTCCAGTCCAGAACCAAAGAGACCATTGTGACATCATGGGACCTCATGGAACCAAGGGTCCATTGTTACAGTCTGCAACCAAGGAGACCATTGTGACATCGCGGAACCGTGTGGAATCAAGGGTCCATTGTTGCAGTTCAGAACCACAGAGAACATTGTGACATCATGGAACCTCATGGAACCAGGGCTCTATTGTTCCAGTCGGAACCAAGGAGACCATTGTGACGTCATGGAACCTCGTGGAACCAAGGGTCTCCAGAATCAAGGACACCATTGTGACCGTACAGAACCTCACAGAACCAAGATTCCATTTTTATGCAGTGGGGCCTCATGGAACCAAGGAAACACTGTGACACAGCAGGGCCGCATGGAACCAATGGTCCATAGAGATACTGCCTATCCAAGGAGACCATGGTGATGCTGTGGAACCTCATGGAACCAAGGGGCCATTGTGACATTGTGTGGTCTCATTGGAACAAAGGACATGGTTAATGGGACAGAGGCTCCTGGAAACTATGGGACCTTGTGACACTGCAGGGACTCATGGAACCAAGGAGACCACTGTGACACTGAGAACCTTATGGAACCAAGCAGCCCTTTTCACCCTAAGGAACCAAGGAGACCATTGCTGACAGCACAAACCTCATGGAACTGAGGGGCTGTTGCTATACAGCTGTCGGAACCCCGGCCTGGTTTAAGCGTTCCATGTGGTGGTAAAGTCTCTCCTCCAACCTGTGGTTCCAAAGAAAACTCTGCAGCCTCTTGTTGTTCCATCTCAAGGCAGAACATTGTAAGCTATCTAAAAGATTGTCTTCTCTGGCTACTGCGGTTTAGTCAGCAGCTCAGGCAGAGGCACACACACCCCTGACACCCTCTCTTTCTGGTGTCTTCTTCTTCTCTCCCCCTGCCCAGGGCTGCTGCTATCTTTTATATGATACATTACGAGATACATGTTTACAGTTTTTCCCCAATACCTACTACCTATATTAAATGGTGCTTTTCTACTCTAAACAAATCCATAAGTGCCAACATCATCAAGAACATGGAGGTAAGGAAGAAGAAAGAGGAGGAACAGGACCGGCCTACATTCCTCCATCTTAAAACTTCTGACCCCCATGTACAAAGTAAAAACCCCCCTGTACAGGTGCTAAACCCCCCCCAATACAATACTAAAAATTTTTTCTCTCTACTTTGTAACTACTTCTACTATAATATATAAACTTTGGTGACTGCTTGTTCAACATTCAAAGTTCATAAATCAATCCATGGCTCAAACTCAAAATCACAGCTGTTTCCAGCTGCCTTCCAGGGTCTCAAATGCCTCCGACCAGGCCCTGGAAACTCCAAAAATGTCTGAGGGACATTTTGAGTTCCAACAAGCGCCTGAGGCAGGGAGATGCAGCTGGGGGCAGGGCAGAGAGCTAGCTGCTGGAGAGGTGGCCTGGGGGCT